TAAAGAAGTAAAGCAAACAATTATCTCTTCTAGTTATGACCTTTGTGCTCAGTGCTGCTTGATGTAAGTTGCTAAGTCTTTAAAAATTTTGCACGTGGAGGATATGAAAAAATATTTTTTTAGGTTTTATATATATTTAACTAACTAAAAATCATAAATTACTACATCAATACCATAGAATTATACTATAATTTATCAAGCTTAGTAACTAAGATGTATTTTACTCTTAAAAAAAATATGAAATTTTGAGCAAACTAAAGACATAACCTACCTCATTGAAATCTTGGTTCAAAAGAAAGAAATGGCACTAGCCACATTAGAAAGGCTAAGAAAACCACTAGGGGACATTCTGAGCTTCCAATTGGTTATTTATGGCATACATAGAAGTAAGTGTATATACGGGAGCATTTCCAAAAATGTAAAGAGGTGGGCAGGGTGCCACTGTGTTTGATTTATTACATGAGCAATATCTCAGCAAATAGAAAAGATAAGACCTTCTTATTTTATATTCTAGCTTGTCAACAGCTGTAATTTGAGTTTTCTTATTCGTATGAAACTATAGACTTAGTATTTTGACTTCACAAAAATCTAACTTGAATCAGTGCTGCATTCAACATACCACGTGACACACAAAAATCAATGTTTATCTGTTGTTTTTTTTATATTTACTCTTAAAATTAAGAAATTGAGTAATGTATAGTTCTAAAATTGGAATTATAATCTACAGTTCGATATAAAACTTATTGACATAAATTCATGAAATAGTAGTTAAATAAAATTTTGAATGCAAGTCAACAAACGAGATGACATGGCCTTTCACCTATGACCCGTCACGAAAGGGTTAAAGTGATAACGTTTTAAGTGCAGCTGATAATAAACAAAGGAAAAATATACAGAAGTAACTATTTATTAGAAACAAAAGGTTATTAAGAAAATTATTTTAAAAATTAATCTTCATATTAAGGTAAAACCCTTACATGGTTGAATCTTCTTGTTAAGCCTAAAACATTTGGAGCAACAGTGAGTTTATCCTTCTTATTCCAGCCACAACTGGTCAGCTCCTGTAAAGATGATTAATAAAAAGTTAGTGTTGTTTTTTGTTACTGCATTAAATATATAAAAAGATGACTAATTTTGTACCAGGTCAAACTTGAATTATATAGCAGAGATCAAAATGTTGTCTAATCACCAGAGAGGTTCTGGTTTCCCTTTCAACAACTTTCAACTCACTAATCGTTGGTTTCCAACAATAGTTTGTTTGTCATTAAGCACAAAGCTACACCAGGGGCTATCTGTGCTATGTCTAACACGATTTTCAAAACCTGGATTTTGTACTTTGATCCCTTGGACTTACTGCTGAGCCACTGGGAGAGCTTTTCCAACAGCCAAAGAGTTTTTTTAAAGAGGCTAACTGATCACGTTCTTTGTTTGGAATGTGACAGGATTGTTATTTGTTTGTTTTTTTCTGACAAAAAAAAATGTCTTAGGCACAATGAAAAAATATTTGCTACACATGTTAATAAAAATCAATTCCTACAGACTTGAGTTTTAAGTAAAGAGTTTTAATATAAATTTCAACAACTAATTCTATGTAAGCATTAATAATACAATATTGAACATGTAATCTTCTCACTACTAAAAAAAGTATGTTTCATGAAGTTTCTCAAAAGCTGATAACCATTAGAATGTTCCACAAAAAGGTCAGCTTTTACAAACGCGAAGTTGAAAATAATCAAATGGTACCTCAATAACAGTGGTGCCCCAAAAAGTCTGGAATCATATAGATGTGTCCCAAATGCTTCAGATGACATTTGAACTTAGCAGGATTGTGTTTCTACTTTCACTCCCTTAAAAGCAGGGTGTCCAAAAAGTCTGGAATCATATAGATGATTTGCAGCTTTTCTTAATTTCAGATACGTGACTGATTATGGTGCTGTCAAAGCATGAAAAGGTCGAGTTAATTCTGCTGTTATTCCAAGTTTGTTTCAAAGTACAAAGGACAGCGTGTTGAACACATTTCATAAAATTTGTTGAATTGCTTATGGTCCCACACTTTTCAGACACCTTGTACGTACCCGGTTCTTCATAATTTTACAGTACCTTGGACCTCACAAAAAACAACATGAAAAAAACTTAACAAATGTTAATTCTGTATGTTACTTTCTTACTTACCATTGAAAGTTTGAAAAATGTAATGCAAGTTCTAAAGTTAAAAATCTATTAACTCTTACTATAATTCTTAATAAGTTCATAGATCTTTACAGCCAATTTTTGTCTATGAATAATAAAGTCAGAGCACAGCCATAAACAGATCGAGCCAGAGTGTGACTATAATATTTCAGGATATGCCTTTGAAGAATTGTCAATTAAAATGTTACGTTATGGCCATAAGCCTGTCTATAAAATAAACTTTGCTACAAATAACACTGCGACAAACAGGAAGTCGCTGTTTAGAACAATATCAAGACTAATTTACCGTAGTATAATCTAGAGCAGTGGTTCCCAACCTTTTCTCCGCCAAGGGCCCCTTTTATTATAATTTTTTCCTCCACGGCCCCCATGTTTTTGAAAGATTCCGCCTACCCAACAATCTTTGTTTATTAACTAATAATTGACTTGTTGTGCAATTAAAAAGAAATATCAGTATTAAAAAACTTGTTCAACGAGATGGTATTACCTATGCGGAACCATTGATCTAGAGAATAAACATTTCCAAAACATGCGAAGATATGAAATGTACTAAGTTACATTAACACACATATCAATGTAATGAACAAGAATTAATTTCCTCAAAATGTCATTTGTAATGTTTGTTATTTTCTTAAATTCTTTTAAGTTGTTATCAATTTATCCTTATGCACATTTGTTGTTCAAAACAATGTAAAGGCTAATAAAAGACCAGATAAAATATAAAACATACGGTAAAAATAAACAATATATGCCTACAGTCATGCACGTATAATATGATTTTTTAGGCTTTCTTTAGAAATGTTCCCATACTACTTAAAGATGATTTACTGCTTTGTACTTATTACAGATCTAATAATTACATGTATGAGTAGATTTTAACTGTTTTCCAAGAGCATCTGTTATGAACAACTCTACTAGAAATGAAAGTACAACTAACCTTACCCAGTCTTTTCTCAACAAGATTCAGTTAAGTTGCAGTCACACATTACCAAATGCTAAATATAAAGTAGTGTGCTTGTAATAACAAGTCTGTTAATTAATAAAAATTAAAGAACAAAAAGAAGTAGATAAAAGTGCTTTCTACATCCTTAGTAAATGGATTTATTTTGCCCAGTTGTCCACTCCAGGCAAAGAACTTCGTATTTTCCTTTATATTAATGAATTCCACTCTTAAATTAACACTATTTGTGATTAATGAAACAAGCTTTTTTACAGTGAAATGTTTGCCTCACGTACAAGTTACTTTAAACAATTTATTAAATACACTAAAAAACAGTAATACCCCCTAAAAATTCCTTTACATCAGTGGTTCTCAAACTTTTCTGTCCTCGGACCACTACAGCAATGCAAAAGAATCCACAGACTACCTAATGGTCCTATCACTTTGACTTGCAACCACAAAAAATAACAACAAACTCATCGGTGACTTGCATGATGGACCAGCCTGTAGACCACTGGAGGACCTTCACAGACCACATTTTGAGAACCATTGCTTTACATGTTTACTATATACAGAAGTATGATAATTAACAATACAATGTAACAATTAAAAAAAAAAGCCTGTATAAAGAGAAACAATATTTACCTGCAAGATTTGACATACGTAATTAATTTGAATTAAAAAATATGGCATTTTAAGATCACAAATCATCAATCATCTGTTTATATTAGTGTCCAATGTTTATGGTTTGCAGACTCAATACAACATTTAAATATAAAATGACATGATCTGACTGCAACGTAGACTTACATAAATAAAATGCAGATTAATAAATACTAAGAAAAACACCTTATCCCTAACTGACGATAACTCGATTTCTCAATTCAGAATCATACTGCAAACACTAAACGACTCTTTATAGATTATCTAAGGTTCTTGATGAAATTTCAAGACTATATGAAATTTACCTATGAACTTGTTTTTTACAATTAACAAAAAGGGGCCAAATCTACCAATTTAAAACTCCATACACATGGTTTAAAATCCCTAAAAGCAACTGAATTAGAAACGTATATTGAAAGAGCCACACAAAAACCTTAAAATCAAATGCATTTGTTAAAAATTAAACATTTTTTCTTCACTTGCGATTAAATGATAAAGTAACAGAAGAAGTTCACAAAAAAAAATTACATTCTTGTATCTGTCAAGGATACACCCTCTTTTTTAATATGTTAAAGTTCTTTTTTCCTGAATAATATAAAAATTTAACTAAACTTTATATCTTTGAACTTTTTCCTTCTTATTTTATAACAATAACAAGCTGAAGTACCGGTCCTTTGTCTGGGTTATGAACTTAAAAAAATGTGGGGGGTGGATGATAAGATAAATAACACAAAAATCCTAACTTTCACACAATCTTACATAACATATTACTAGAGTATTCATTATTACCTCACCAAACGTTTTGTACAAGCTTTAAGAACTCACTTTGTATATACTTAGAACATCGTATACACTGTGCAATGGTCAGGGTGACTTTGTAGGAAGAGGTAATGGCTAAATTAGTGGCAGTAGGGGTGCTTTCTGCTACCCACTTTCAACACGCAGCTCATAATGTCCTTCTAGTGTTTCACGTGATTAATTAATTGCTGGTCACTGGCTGCAGAAGTGTCTTATGGGACGAGGTTGAAAAGTCAGGGGTCAGTGTAGGAAGCGGGTAAAACTCAGAAACGGCTCTTCATATCAGCCTTATGGTAGATGTTGCAGTAGAAATTTCAGCTGAATTTACGTATTAATGCAATAGTAGTGACTATTTTTTTCCCCTTGCATACTTCCATAGAGAGTGCTAATGCACCCTCTGAGATATACAAGACATTTGTGTGAAATGATTAAAAACTGATTCTACACACATAATATATGGTAGTAGTAATAGAGAATACACAAATTCTTACCTCTGGCTGCATGGCCTTGAACACAGGAAGGTCAAGTAAGGTCAACTGACTCTGAAATGTGATTATACAGAAAAGTTGCAATTTCAGGTCATTCATAAAAAAGTAAACTTTCACAAGAAATGGTAATCCATTCTTACAGTATAGCAGTGCTACACATATGTGGCTTCTCATCATCAATGGATAAACGAGTAAATCCATACATTGCAGTAAGGTAATTGATAATAGAAATTGGCCTCATTCTGGTGGATAAAATATTTGTTGATGGATCGGTGTTTTAAGTATAATAGTTAAAATACTAAAATCATGTATATTTTAATTAACTCCTGAGACTTGACTACAAATTTTAATTGGTCTGTAAACAACATTTTTTTAAACACAGATTATGTATGTTTTTTCTCAATGTTTGGACCAAGAAATAAGCACACAAAAAAAGAATATTCTTAGTTTTTAACAATATCTCATGGTGTTCACCACATAAGGCTACAGACTATTCACAATTTTAAAATATTCACTAAATGTATACTTCAGAAATTTATCTTCTAATAAAACACACCATGCGAGACAACTACTACACAGTGTAATGATAAACAGTTAGTACGATATATGATTAATCTAATTAACAATAAACTATTTAACTATTAATCTTCATTATTCTTTGGACCTTTGTCATACAAAGATGACTTCAAATTAATTAATATTACTATACTGATTTGATAATAAAAGTTCTATACTAACACATTTTAAAAAATGTATTTATCCTTCTCTTTATATAGTTCAATAACACACTCATTTATTCTGCTAAAAAAACAAATACAGAGCAATATTAAAAACATATAAACTTCATTACCAAATCACCATGCAGAGTGAAAGGTTGTTTTTTTAAGTTAGTCCTTATCTAAATGTCTAAATAAGAAGAATTAAGAGCTCTTGGTTTAGTTTATAAACTAAGCCTCAATGAGGAAAACGTTTTTTTAGAAAGAACCATTTATGAATTAAACACTTTTTAACCATTTCCTATTGGTATTTACAGTATAATAAAACTTTCAAGTTGATTGTCAATAGCTCCTGAGAGAAAAGAACATATATTTGTTCTCATTTTAAGTGGTATAATCTATTATTTGATTTTCCAAAAACTATAGTTTGCCTATGCATAAGTATAATGTCTCCGAAGAAAAGCTGGTTACAAAAAAGAAATAAAAATTAAACTGATTTTTTTTAAAGAACAAAAGACAGCATTTTATTTTATAAATTCTTGTTTTCATGTTAAAGCAATGTATGTCCAACATTTTTACAGATTCAGAGATACACGATTTGGAAAATACAAAAATTAGGTCATGTGAACTACAAGGTGTTGATAACGTGTAAAAGGTATCATTTCTAACTCAAAAATGAATACACAAGTTTGACAAAATGTAGAGAGAGAGAGAGATATATTCTGGGAACATGTCCATGTAAACCATAAATCATGAAACAATGGATTTACATGGTTTTGACATAAGGAGGAAATACTCGCAACACTTTATATTAATATAGTTATTACACTAAGAAAAATTTTTAGTACACTGTTATTGACAAACTAACACGAACCCAAAGTACTTACAGCAAAATCTTCTGGTGCAACCCGCAAAACATCAAATACAACAGCATCATAGCTTTTTGAGCTGTGTGACCACCTGCTATCAGTCACGTCTGAGCTCTAGATATAAAACAAAACCATAATTAAAATAAAAACTTTGAAAATTAGTCACTTGGTTGTACTATCCTTTTAGTTAGACTTTGTTTCATTATTCCAATTAAAATCTAATAATTTTACATAGTGTTTAAAAATAATTAAGAGAGTAACTTGAGAGTAACTTAATAATGATCCTCCAATAAAACAAGTGCTTAATGAGTCTTTGTACCTATGTATTTGCTTCTAATGACTGTGTGTGTCTATATATTATAATTTATATATATAATGTGACATAATGTAAATTAATTACATGTATATACCATATCTACATCATAAATTTGGATAATTTTAGTAGTTTTTTTCAATTTATATCATACATTCTTTTACTTCATGCAATTTACCATCAGTTTACCTTTTATATCCTTTAATACAATAGGTTTTTCTTACACATATTTGATCCAGTGACATAAAAACATTTATTTCAAGAACATGTGCTTGATTAACATTTTCAAACACAAAAACCAACATGTACAACTCATTAATTAAGTTTTAAAAGGAGCTTAAAAGTTAACATTTATCAACATCAAATAAAAATATTTCTAAAACACTTTTCTGCACATCACTTCACAGCAAACAACTTTCTATTTAAAACCACCTCTTTAGATCTGAACATTACCTGCAAAATTCTCTGTGTAAGCTACTGAAAATGTTTTGAAAAAACCAATGAAATTCTTTGTCTAAAATGCACAATACAAAATGGAGTAAATTTCTTATAAACTTATTTGTATGTGACAGATTATAGTACAAAAAGAGTCACGTCTTAACACTAAAGTAAGCAGCATGAAGTTTTGGCCTATTACAGTTCTCTGTAAAAAAACTAAAAAAGTATAACCCAAACTCTAAATTTTAATTTTTCTTTCCCTTACATTATACCTCTCAGACTTGTCAAAGAAATTAGTACTGTAGCAAGAACTGGATGACTGAAGCTTCTTAAAAGGGCTTCCACTTCCAGCCACTTCAAAGTTCATATGTAATTTTGGTTACATATCTCATATGAATAAATGAACTAACAACTGATGAATGTTAATTGTTTACCTCATTGAGATCAGTTAACATGAAAATCCAAATTTTCACTGATAAGTAAAACATAAAAAAAGTATTTTTGACCACAAAACGTGTGGAATAAAACCTTCAAATAATACACACACTATCAACACAAAATAACTAATCGAATTTATTTTTCTCTGCTATTAATTTATTCTAGTATTGAGTAGTGATGTTAAGTCAAAAAATAAAATCGACGCTTCTGCCGGAATTAAAAGTAATGCTTAATTATAATTTGATATTTCTAAACATTTTTATTTATACTTTATAGTGCTACACAAAATCGCCAGTCTATTTTTAAAATAAAGTAGAAATCATTAATTAATATTAGTGTACCTTTTCTGTACAACCTTTAGTACAACAGATTTCATTCAATTCAACTTTTTACTTAGTTTTACTTTTAGCTTCACTGTACAAACTTTGGGTATTCTATTAAAGTATTATTATATTATTCATTTTGTTACTGTTAGCCTACCTCCTCAATCCGTAAAGCTGACAGACTACTACTTGCAAGTTCTGCTGCCATTTCGCAGTACTTCATGATGCTCTAGGATCACAATATTTCATGTCATTACTGAAAAGAGGACAAAGTTAATGTAAAATAACTTCAAAATTGTTTTCACGTCACAGAAGAACATAAATTCACCGTCAGTTTCTCCTATTTTACCGTAACCAAAAACCTCATATTGCGGAAGTTAACAACAACCAAACTAGGTGTCGTGACTATAAGCACGTCAATCATTTTATATACATACACATATATATATATATAATTTCGAACGTTCCAGGAAACATGTCTAATTTTATATTAGTGCACAACCAATAATTTAAAATAAATAACTATCAACAATAATCAAAATATATTTTACACACGTACGAAAACTCCTTATAAATAATCAACTCATTTTTCGGAAAACATAACTTAATGATAAAGCAAAACACGTACGTGATAATAGGAAGCATTTATTAAACGTTTCGGAATCTTCAAAATTCCATCATCATTAATTTAGAGGCACAAAACAAACAAACAATATTTGTAATTACAACAGAAATATGATATACGTAAGAAGTATACAATTTGAATATACAAATTATAACAATAGAAAATGAAAAAAAAAGTGGCACAAATGAAATAATTCAACTAAAATAGGTTTAAATCAAGTGAAGAATGTGTATTATTTAGGGTCGGAAGAAGAGTTTTTCGGCAACAGGTCGTAAAACTTGAACTCTCGGATTTACTATTTGACCACACTATCTACTAGGGCAACTAGGCCACGTTCGGACTGTTCGTCTTTCAATCTAATAAATAAGATTTTTACAGTTGAGATCCAGTAAAGGCGAAATGTTGTTAAAATGAACTAATTGTGAAAAAGTATGTAGAATAAGTATTAAAACATTACTCATGTCACAGCTAATTGGAATATTATTTCATTTTTATTTCTTTATATAAAAAACATGACTATTTCTAATTTCATAAATAGCTATTACCATCGACGTTTCGGTTGATGCCTTCGCCGGGATGATACAGTTTACATAGAATTTCAAGGAGTGATAAATTATAAAACATTACTAAAGTAGTACAAACAGCATATCGCGCCTATTTATATAAAAAACAACAAAACCTTGTAAGTTTGTAGTTTTTGGATATTTACTAAAATTTAAATTTTTAATTACAAACTCTCGATTTATTTTATATATACCTGTACAAGCCAAGAAATAAAAAAGGAATTATTGTTTTTATTATTTTTGTTGTTGGTTCATCGGTAAGTTTGAGGGCTTATAACGCTAAAAATTAGGTTTCGATTATCCGCGATGGGCAAAGCATTGATAGACCATCGTGTAGTTTTGAATTTAGTAACAAAAAAACTTTGTGTATGTGGGGGAGCGGGTTGATTTTGTGGTAGAACTCTGGATTTCAAAGCTGGTGAGCCGAATTTGAAAATATGCGATACTATGAAATATTACCAACACTTTAAGCTGAGGGTGATTTATAAGAACGACAGTGAATCATTTAGAGTGACCAGTGGATGGTAGGGTGCTGCTGATTAGCTCTCTTCCTTCTGTTAAGTACTTCAAAATTAGTGGCACCGACGGATTGCCTTAATTAATAGTTGTGTCATAAATATAACAAACAAATACTTGTTGTTGACTATAGCAATCACACAGCGGGAGGTAGAGGTCCAGAGTGTACCTGATCCTCCTAAGTCACTTGACCAAAAGAACGACCAGAGATCAGAGAATCACAAACGGCTGGACAAATATTCCAGAAAAGTAGTCCAAAACTTATCATAAGTATATTTATGAACGTATGAAAAATGTGAAATTATCTTTCATTTATTTTAACTGAAAAGGTTAGGGGGGCAAATAAATTCGAAAATAAACATAATATACTCAATACAACGAAAAGTAAACATTAAGTGAAACACAACCGAGAGTTGTTCTATTTTATGAAAAGAATAAATAGAATTTGATACGAAAAAAAAAAGTATTAGTCTTGTAAATGATAGAAATTATGAATAATTATATGCAGATTATTGTAATTGCTAACTTTGCGTTTATCCTGATGAGGATGTAGGACTAATTTTTTTTTGTTTTTTACTTTTAATGCCCGGAAGTACACAATTAGCTTTCTATATCCTATCCTAGCCAGGTGGTTAGGGCGCTCGACTCGCAATCTGAGGCTCGCTTGTTTGTTTGTTTTGGAATTATGCACAAAGCTACACAATGGACTATCTGTGCTCTGCCCACCACGGGTATCGAAACCCGGTTTCAAGAGTTGTAAGTCCGCAGACATACCGCTGTGCCACTGGGGGGCCTGAGGGTCGCGGGTTCGAATCCACGTCACACCAAACATGCTCGCCCATACAGCCGTGGGGGCGTTATTATGTTTCGGTCAATCCCACTATTCGTTGGTAAAAGTGTAGCCCAAGAGTTGGCGGTGGGTGGTGATGACTAGCTGCCTTCCCTCTTGTCTTACACTGCTAACTTAGGGACGGCTAGCGCAGATAGCCCTCTTGTAGCTTTGGGCGAAGTTCAAAACAAACCAAACCAAATTAAAAAGAAAAAAATTAAAACTTACGTTTCTTATACGTTACTGAAAAATAACCTAAAGTATTAATAGCAGAGATTTTTTCTAAAATTGAATAGTATTTGAGCTGTTTTCAAACAAGATGTGACAAAAATGCAATATGTATTTTAAATCTTGTTGTTTCCTCTTATTATTACAAGGAAATAAAATCATAAGAAGGAAGTAAAAGAAAACGCGAAGTACACACGGAAGAAATGCTAAAAATTAAACTGTCATTTTATTAATAAGCTCGCTAACGGTTCAAAAGTCTGAAAGCTTACAACGCTAAAAAAGGGTTTCGATACCCCTGGTAGGCATAGCACAGACAGCCCATTTTGTAGACTTGCGTTTAACAACAAACAGATAGGTTTTAGGGTTGTATTTCAATAGCTAAGAAGCTTACAATGTTGCGTGATTATTAACTAATTAACATGACTATTATGATGTCAGTTGGTTATTGCATCTGATAATTTAATGTTGAAATACTCGATCTTTGCTATACAGTTATAATTAGTTATACCATATTGTTATATATTTATATTTATATATTATATTTATTATATTTATAAAATTTATTATTTTCATTATATTGTTACGCCTCCAGTCGTTAGTTAATTTTCCGTAAATTCTTTCCGACTAAACTTTAGCGACACGAGTCCTT